CACAGTAAAAAAGTCTGATATAAATCAAAGCCTTCACAAGACTCAGTCCCAGGGACACCTGAGCCATCAGTGATATCTTTGGACCTCTCCATTCCAAAGGTCTCTGCCAGAGTAAAATTCAGAACCAAACCAGGCAACAAACAAAAACACCCCCAAACATSACCGTTTATTCCTGAAAGTGCAGGGCATCCCTAAAGGTACATASTGTTGTAGGGAAATATAGCTTAAATTAATACAATTTGATTTAGACAGAGGCAGCACAAGGCAAGTTCAACAACTTTTATTGCTTTTTTATAAGCTCCCCGGGGACAAGGAGCAGTACTGGGCTCAATCAGGAGTTTCCCATTCTTCTAATTCCCACAGCCAGCTTCACTTGGAGAAGACCAAAAAATACTTCAGCTAGACTTGCCCAAACAGTCAAAATAAAAAGGAATGCTATTATACTTTCAACTTGTGAATGCAAGGGGTGACTGTAACAGCACAGATCAGGAGAGCTCACTTCTTACAAAAATAAAACCATGCTTATTACACTGCAGCATTTGTCTCCCCTTCCAAATTCTTCAAGAAGAATGTGGGGAAAGGCTGGTCAGAAAGCAAACTAATAATTCTTTTTTCTCTTTTTGGTACCACCAAAGCTGTTTAACTGTAGAAATGCTATGGAAATAAAATGTCATTAATCCCCCCTACTCTCTCCAAACCTGCTCTAGGTTTGGGGGAAGRCTCTAGGTGGGAAGGCTCTAGGAAATTAAGGTGCATAAGAAAGACTCATTTTTGGCCATCTACCTATGCTGAAGTTGATACCAAACCACCAGAACCTTTACATTGGTAATCATTACTTAGTGCTGCTAGCTAGCACGCTTGGTGAGACGGCTAATTAGGAGGGAACAGGCAGCAGCAGCAGCATGAAAGCTGGTAGGACTTACCTTCATGGCCATCTATAGGTTTGATTAAGAAGAGCACAYAAAATGCCATGGGTGACACATGGGTCAGAGTTTAACCAAGTGAATCTATTTCTTTTTTGCTGCAAGAGGCCTTACTTTGGCATCACCTCTTTATGGGACCATACTACACGCCAGCAGTCCTCACAATCTGCTGCTACCCAAGATAGTAATAGTCCAGATTACACATTTGAGGCTCAAAGATTGCTCTGCTCACCTCCTATTGACCACACCACTCAGTGTGGAAGATGGGGATAGGAGGGGATGGGAACACACATTTAAGTCCAGACAGCGGSTTTGGATTTGAATAGCGGAGGTGCTTTAAGACGGCTTTTAAATTCCTGTTTGCTCAAAATCCTCATTCCCCTCCAAACAAGGCTGTTTTGAAGCTCCATTCCAAATACCAGCAGTCCCAGCAAGACCTCAGTAAACAATAAAGAAACAATTTAAAACAGGAGCTTCAACTGCTGTTAAGAGCATAACTGCAACATTAGGCTAGTTGTAACTCATCCCTTAACATTTCAAGCTAAAGTGTTACAGATYTATGAGGCTGCTCTCAGAGCAGGACAGCAATCCTTCAATTCTATTAAGGCCTGTAGTTTGGATAGTGCCCAGCTGCCAACTTACCATCAAGGCACGTAAACCATGAGYTGGGGAAGGCAGCACGTTGGCTGGAAGTGCAACAGACCATCGGAATGGCACKTACGGAGAGGTCTTCTCTACAGCACAGTCACAACAGGGGAAAAATAAAGGTCAGCAGCCAGGTGTTGTCAGAATGAGGTTCAACCATCACTGCAATACTGAGTGCTTTATCATACTCTTCTTTATGAACATCCATCTATGAAATGGATTGAATGAGCACTGAGACCACGGAGAAGCTCCCAAAGTTTGCAGGGAGTTCCAGAAGGCTTAGCAGGGATACAAACCACAGTTATTACACATTATCAAGTACACTATTAATTCTGACTAATATTAATCACAAATGCTGTCATTTTCACCATGCAAACATTTTAATTTTTCAGGTTGTTCCTCTTCCAAGCATGGAGAGAATTACATTACCAGGACTACTCCACAGTGGTACCGCATACGAAAYGACCAGTGACTTCCTAGAGTTTCTGTAGTAAATGTCTGTTTTGTTAACTGAGGCTAAATACCCACAGGATATTATTAGCATTTCCCCTCCAGCAACTGGTCTAATAAAGAAACACAGAACATCTTTGCTGTAGTACAAAAGTTTACATAAAGTTTGACAATTTAATTGAAGAGAATACAAAATATGTTGTCTGAATTCAAATAATTTATGTAAAAGTACATGAATGATGAAAATATTGGTGAGAAGATTTGGGTATCCATATTATCAGATGCATGTTCTTTGCTTTCTTTCCCTGCCTAGAGTTCATATACAGTCAGAAATACATTTATATTTTAAGTTACAATAAAAGACAGCATTGCAAAAAATAAACACAATTTCAGATATATCAGCCCTTTAACATGAATATTTCCTGTTAATACAGGACGTACTTGATAGAAGAAACCAAGTGGAGTAACAMTGAATAAATCTCTGAATAAGCCTGGTTGAACAAGCCTGGGTGTGTTTGATTTTTCCTTTTATTGGGAAGGGAGAACAGCCAACAGAAAACAAAGAGAATTTTAGCACTCTATTCCAATTCCATTCAATTCCAAGGGTTGCTTTCATCTATTTATCCCTGGGGAAAAACAAACAAACAAACAAATCCACCCACCACTGTCCTTTCCGGGAGACTCAGGATATGGATGAGGCACAGATCTTCCACATGAACTTCTACATCCATGCAAAGGGGGATCCTGCAGACAAAATGAGCTATCCCAGCTGTATTCCAGAGGGCACCTGGGACCCAGCAAGCACCTACTCCCAGCCTCCAGCACAGGCACATTTCTGCTCAAATCATGGGCTCTTTCCTCATGCTTGTCAAATACTGACACCCCAAGAGTCCCTTCCATGACTAAGACATCAAGCAACAGGCTGAAACACCCACAATTTCTTACCACATGTCACCTGCCCTCCACATTTTTGTTGTCAGCTAAATGGTTAACAAGGAAACACATGATTAATTTCTTTAAAGATATTTTAGTTGTTTCTTATTAAAAGCACTGGTTGCAGTACAATAGTTTGACATACAGTAACAAAAACATACTCAATTTACATGCACAAACCATTAAACAATAACACAGTCTTTCCTATAGGCTTTCTAAAATGAACACTACTATGACAGCTGACACTTAGCTTTCTGATTGCTCTTATGAGTTCTCAAAAAGTGAAGAAAAGAGTGTTCCAGTTAACACAACAGCAAAGAACAGAGGTTTGGCCATTGCTGGAAGATTCCAGGAAGATGCCAGTGTCATAATGGGAGGCAGTGTTGGTATTACTATATTTACAACTACAAAGAAAAAGGTGTGCAAAGTTGTTTTAATGTTTATCCCAACTTAAAAAAAATGCATGGGAAATACTTACAGCTTTGAATAGAAACACATCAGAAAACAAGCATATATATGCAGCAGAGGAGAAGTTAGAATTTAAGGCAAGAGAAACGTGGAAGTTTTAAAAACCTAATTACTCAAGTACTGCATAAGAGCAGCAGTCAGCAATTCAACGTGGTGCATTATTTTCCAGCTGGATTTTTCTTTAAAGCTTCCAAATTTGAAAATGCAAGTGTTCTTGTTCCATTCTTGCATAGATGAGATTTTATAAACTTTACAGTTTGGTCCAGATTGTCATGGTTTAACTTGCAAAGAACAGTATTTGCTATTAGGACTACTCACTGCAAGTTTACAAAATCTGCTTTTCAGAAAACAGATGCAAGTGTCACCTTTAATAAAAGACTGATGTTAAAGTTTCTGTCCTGCTGTTATGGTGCTTCTAGAATGAAGATAGAGAAGTGAGATTTATGAGAAGGCAGATTTATGACTGAGATCAGCTCTGTTAAGCAAGTGTTGGGATTTTAAAAAAACAACATTTTTYTTCTGGATGTCAAAAAAGTTAATAGCTGCAGTACTAAGACTCTCAAAGTGCCCTGGCTGTGCCCCCACTTTTTAGTGATTTTTCCAAGTGGTATTCAGAAGGTAAGAAAGCCTCTTGTGTCTAATCAACAATCATCAGTTTAAAATTATATTATTGGCAAGTCAGATCCGGAAATAATATGAATATTCCACATGACAGTTATAATCCTAATTCATTCATCATCATATAAAAAAGTACAATTACATGTGATCTCACTGTCAGATCTATGATATACCAAGTAAGACTGCAAAAAATRAAAGACAAAAAAGAAAAAGGCCCAGAGACTCCATTTCTTTTCTTTCCTAATTGTCTCACAGCAAAAATGTATCAAAGATTTAATCTTGAATACAAAGTTATAGTCTGCAGATCAGGTCCTCTAATCCAGACTGATGGTACTTTTTACTGTATTATCATTTCAACTGAGCCACCTATTATAAACTCTCAATGCCTGCACTTATTTAAACCCTGTGTTCCCCAGCCTTGTCCACCTATATCAATCATTCACACTTTATTTTACATAGAACGATAAATAACGCTGTGGTTTCCAAATGTGAATAGGAACAGGTCTCAATTACTGTAAACCATGTTGCCAAAAAAAAAAA